GCACAAAATTTGTACATGTATATTTTGTGCCCGCAAGAACAAGATTAACCTACTTTGAAAGTAAATGGATTTAGGTTCAGATCTAATAATAATATTAATAATGATGAACGTTGTATACAAAAAAAGCAACTCATTGGGAAAAAAATTAACTAATAATATAAAAATAAATTAATTTATTATTATTTCACCCTCAGATTCTTGGTCTTTGCTCATTTTCTGTGAATTTATATTATATTTATATGTGGTGTTGGGCTGAACCCACGGGGAGTGGACAACATGGACTGGCTGCTGACTGGCTACAGCTGCTACAGTAGAATCCTACGCTGGACACTTGTGATATTTTAAAACATCTGGTATTTTTACATAAATTGTTCCAGCTGTATTGATTTAAACAAACAACAATGCAGTGGGTCACCAGACCACTGAGTCACAAACACACCAACACCACTCAAGGGTTAAAACAGCAACGAAAGTAAAAAGTACAATACAGTACTGTGACTAGCAAATTAAAAGGATTTTTTATTCCTCCTTTGAGAAGCTCCTGCAGGTTCATCAGCTCGACTGAAGTTTGAGGAAGGCCCTGCACTGCAACACCAGCGGGATGTTCTTAAATATGTACCGTATTTTTAGCTGTTTGCTTCCATATTTTTGTAGCCTGCAGTGTATTTCACAACTGGTGCCATCTGCCTCAGCTCCTGCATACAGCTTGGAGAGGCGGATTACTTCCCCCCAGGAGGGCGGGATAGGCGTCCAGACTAATTAAACACAATAAACCGCCCTAACTATAGATAGCAGCTTAGCAGAGGTGGGCAGTAACCATGTCATTTACTCGTGTGCTTTAGAGACCAGAGCTGATCAACGTGCTGAAAGTTCAGTACATTTTCAGCACAGTTAGATGGCAAAAACTTCAACTTTCAGCACTTTCAGTTCTTTACTATGATAATCTAGCACTACACTGACACTGAGCTGTGTTTTACATTGTGCAACACACTGTATCACACTCTTCCAAACAAAAGGGTCAAACGTGGTTCTATGGAGTGGTCATAGGAGAACTTTTGGTTCCCCAAAGCAGCAGTTCTCCATTTTCTTTTTGAGTCCAAGATCCACTTTATGTGAACTAAGGACTTGTTCAGACCGCCAGCCTATATCTGATTGATTTTTGAGAGTCTGAACAGCCAAAAACACATGAAATCAGATTTTTGCTTAGATCCAAACCACATTTGAGTGGTTTGAAACCGGATTTTTACAGATGCGTCTCAGTCTGGACGCTCTGGCCGCTCAAATCAGATTTCAAAGTGTCTTTTTTGTCGCTCGCAACACGACAAGCAACCACGATGTCAAATCCAGAGTGATGAAGTGCTGGGACTGAAGAGGAGCTCCAGAGATTCATGATGATGAAGAGAGTTCTGAGGAGTTTGGAGGGCGAGATGATGCTCCTCCATCTCTCCTGCATCCGCATTCGAAATCCGCATCACCAGCGTAGCTACATAGTTACTGATGCCTACGTCGTTACCATGGCAACCCATGCAGATAGACTGGTGATGTCTGGACACACAAATCTGACCTGATCATGTGCAAATAACAGTGAGTGTGTTTACATGCACTCAATAATCCGATCATAATCTGATTTCTGCGGTTATCTGATTATTCAAATGGTCCTGTAAACAGCATATTTTGATTTCTTAGATTGGAGTAAGGTCTAGAAATCTGATTAAGAAATCTGATAAAGAGGCTGGATTTTAGCTCAGTAATCAGATTTCTCAGTGCTGTAAACTCTTACTCTGATTTCTTTCGGATTTCTCAGTCTGAGCATGTGCGAAAACAGACGGTGGTACTGGAAATAAGCGAGCAGCGTCGCCGTGAGACGCAGCAAAACACTTTTCGAGCGACACTGAAACCAAATACATGCTTGACGAAATGAAGGATTTGAATATTCTTCATCTTCTAGATGATGATGTTCATATTTTCAGGTAAAGTGGAGCGACGTTAAAAATAAAAAGCCAGGAAGTTTGAGTTTTACATTACGTTTTACGTCAATTTTTATGTCATGTCTTCTGTGAGTTTATTGGCTGGTTATAAAGCAGAAATCCGATTCCTGTCTGACTCATATAGACCCAGAGTTTCCCCATTATCTGATTACTCAAAACGTGTTGATCGGATTACTGACAAAATCTGATTTTCTGCAGTTATTGGATTATTAAGCACATGTAAACGCACTCAGTGAGGACAGTCGCCTCAAAAGATCTGATGTGAGAAACAAATCTGATTTGCCTGCAGTCTGAACACAGCCTAAGCACCAAAATCATTCAGTGCTCAAAAGTAGCCTTGTGACATCCCATCATCCTGCGTGTTTTCAGAATTGTTATTAATCTGGTCATGTTTTATGGAAAGAGTGTTTGGCCGTATTCAAAAGTACATAATTTCAGCTACATCATGGCTATTATTCGATATTTGGGTCCAATCAGACGACAGTAAAGTAGAAAACTTTCACCTAAACTCTATTTTACTTCAAAACATATTGGGACACTAATCCAAATGTGACGTGTCATGTTTAGAAAATAAATACTGGCTTGAATTTATCAAAAACAAAAGAGTGGAAAACGTACTGAAGTGGTGGAAAGAGACCAAAATGTGTTCAACACCTGTCACAAGAGAACATCTACACTCTTTAAAATGATGGTTCTTCAAGGGTTCAGGGGTTTATATAGAACCAAGAACACTCAAAGAACGCTTTGCATGACTAAAGAGTTCTTTGCATTGTAAAAGGTTAATCAGAATAATGGGGAATGTGCTGTAGATGGTTCTATATATAAACTTTTTGAAAAGGGTTCTGTACAGGACCAAAATGGGTTCTGCTACTGTTATGATGTCAAGCCTGTAACAGTAGAAGGACCTTTTTTGGTGCTAGTGCAAAACCCTTTTCAAAAAGGTTCTCTATAGAACCATCTACAGCACATTCCCCATTATTCTGATTACCCTTTTACAATGCAAAGAACTCTTTAGTCATGCAAAGCGTTCTTTGAGTGTTCTTGGTGACCTGTCCAGGGTGTATCCTGCCTTCCACCCAATGACTGCTGGGATAGCCCACAGCTCCCCCCGCGACCCAGAAGGATAAGCAGCTTAGAAAGTGTGTGTGTGTGTGTATATAATGTGGGTCAATGACGTGATGCCTAAGTTTTTTTGTCCAACTGCATTTTTTCAGTTTATAAGACTTAAATGAATAAAAACATATACATCATATATGTAGTGCCTCTCCCACAGACCTACTCACTCTAATATTCAATAAACTTTAGTTAATTGTAATTTTTCTGTTACTTCAAGGGTCAAAATATCATGCAGTATGACCGTCTGGTCATGACTGCTGTTTTAAAAACTTTGAAATTACTCTAAATCTATTGACTTATTTTTGTAGATATTCTTAATTCTTATACGTCACTGACCCACATACACTCACATACACACACACACTACAGATGTACAGTATATATAACAATGTCCTAAGTTTTAATTGAGGAAATTTAACCTATTATTACAGAGCTTGAACTGCTGTTGTTGAAACCATGTTCTGTAAATGTGACATCACAACCACGACTCATACTGCTAGTCTGACTCACTCAGTGTTCGAGCCTAAAGCAAGACAAAGTGGATGTTCTGGTATCTGGTAGCCAAAAAACGGGCCTGGAAATTAATTTATAGAAAATACCTGCATTTAAATCACAAAGGCAACTCAGAAAAGTCACAACTAGATATTTTCCCCAAATCATTCAGCCCTATATGGGCACGAGGCCGACTGCTTCAGAGGTCTGCTGGCATTAGGACTCGACCAATATGTGGGTCAGCCAGTATGATCAGTCGATATTGATGACCCTTGCTTTCATCTGTATCAGTGATAGTATTAATAAACTGATTAATTATTACCTAATTTCTGTTTCAGCTACACAGACTGAGCTGATGCACCTGTATCCCTATATAAATACACCAATCAGGCATAACATTCTGACCACCTCCTTGTTTCTACGCTCATTGTCCATTTTATCAGCTCCACTTACTATATAGGTGCACTTTGTAGTTCTACAGTTACAGACTGTAGTCCATCTGTTTCTCTGATACTTTGTTAGCCCCCTTTTACCCTGTTCTTCAGTGGTCAGGACCCTCATGGACCCTCACAGAGCAGGTACTATTTGGGTGGTGGGTCATTCTCAGCACTGCAGTAACACTGACGTGGTGGTGGTGTGTTAGTGTGTGTTGTGCTGGTCTGAGTGGATCAGACACAGCAGTGCTGCTGGAGTTTTTAAACACCTCAGTGTCACTGCTGGACTGAGAATAGTCCACCAACCAAAAATATCCAGCCAACAGTGTCCTGTGGGCAGCGTCCTGTGACCACTGATGAAGGACTAGAGGATGACCAACACAAACTGTGCAGCAGCAGATGAGCTATCGTCTCTGACTTTACATCTACAAGGTGGACCGACAAGGTAGGAGTGTCTAATAGAGTGGACAGTGAGCGGTCACAGTGTCTGATCCACTCGTACCAGCACAACGCACACTAACACACCACCACCACGTCAGGGAGGTGGTCATAATGTTACGCCTGATCGGTGTGAATGTTATATTGATCCGTAATGATACTTTATGCTGTATTAATGTTTGTGTATCGGCGTCTGCAGATATGAACACACCAAACACTGAGTTCTGGCGTCTCCATATCGGTTCATCCCTGATTCCAACAGTGCGTCTACAGGTCTGATCAGAGGTCAGAGGCGTTAAAAGGCATCAACAGTGTTAAAGGTTAAGGTGGAGCTCGGCTGATGATCGCGGAGCTCCTGCGCGGCTGAAGCTGCTTCTTGTTCGAATTTTCGTTCCGCCTTAAACGCCTTAAAGAGAAGCGACGCGTTGAGTGTGTGTGAGTGTATCTGTAGTGCGCGCGCGCGCGTGTGTGTAGTGTGTGTGATCTGCGTTAAAAGGTAACCGGCTCTGTTCTCTGTATGCGGCGGTCTTACCTGGGCTCACGAGGGTCGCGGGGTGATATGAAGGAGACACACACGCGCACGTACACACAGACGCATGCGCGCGGAGCAGGGAGCCGGGCGCGCGCCTTGATGATGACTGTAGGGCAGCACGTGACGCTGAGGGCTGAGCAGAGATGCCTGATAGAAAACGATCATCAGTCAAATTAGATCAATAAATCAGGATAAAATCACTGAAATAGACTATTATTATTATTATTATTTTTTTTTATTATTATTATTATTATTTAAACAAATATAGGAAAAATATGAATAATTAAACTGCTTCTACTGCTACAACTAATAATAATACACATGAAAATATTGTTGTTATTGTTTCCATACAAAATATTTCAAAATATAACATCAATATTTAAAACTTAATAATCTTATAAGTTTTTTAACTGAGTATTAAAACATGAGTGTTACTGCAATAAAAATAAATACAAGCTGTTATCATCTCCCTTATGTTTATTTTAAAATAAAAATATTTAAAAATGATTTAAAAATTAATATGGTTATTATTATTATTATTATTATTATTATTATTATGTTATTATACTTGCCATAATTAGTAGTAGTAGTAGTTTAAAAAGTGTATATTAAAATATATGAAATTATTACAAATAAATAAAAATGGTCATAACTTAACTTTTATAGGTATATTTCTTTTAAAAAATAATCAAAACAGAAATGTATTATTTATTATTAATATTATTAGAAACAGTATAACATAGTAGTTGCCATAGTAAATAAAATAAAATGAATTAATTGATTGATCAAGAATCAATGAATCATAGTCAGAAATATTAAAATTATCATGACCATCATCATTTATGTTAGAAATGATTTATTAGATCAGAGGAAGAGTCTAATATTACAGCTCAAAACATCTATATCTATCTGTCCGTCTGTCTGTCTTTCTATCTATCTGTCTGTCTGTTTATATATATATATATATATATATATATATATATATATATATATATATATATGTCTTCACTGTAACTCTGTGAACAGGGTGGTGACAGTAAAACAGAGTGTAACACACACACACAGTTATAATGTAGTTTGTTCAGAGCTGATCAATTTTCACAAAAACTCATTTTCTGATATTTTTATTAGTGACGTCAGAAACATGAATCACACTGAGGAAACATAAAGCTGATGTACAGACAGACGAGAGGAACCAGCAGATCGGCTCTCAGTGACGTCCTGATCACAGACCGAACCTTCACAGAACCGGCCGCACACGAGATCCCAAACTCCGCACACAGTCTAGACCAGAGGAGACACTCGTCAGGCCTGTTAGAGCTCAACTGAATTAAAGACCTGAACGAGCTCAGAGCAGAGGGGACACAGATTCAGCTCAATCCAGTTTACTTTGATCTGACGCATTCAAATTTACCTTAAACTCAAACTGGCCTTAAATTCAGCAGCTGAATTAAAATTCAGTTTCATTTTGGCTGAATTCAATTTCAACTTCAATTCTGCTGAATTCAATTTCAACTTCAATTCTGCCGAATTCAATTTCAACTTCAATTCTGCCGAATTCAATTTCAACTTCAATTCTGCTGAATTCAAATTTAACTTTATTTCTGCTGGATTCAAATTCAACTTTAAATCTGCTGAATTCAAATTCAACTTTAATTCTCTGAATTCAATTTCAACTTTAAATTCAAATTCAACTTCCATTCTGCTAAATTCAAATTCAACTTGAATCCTGCTGAATTCAAATTTAAGTTAAACTCTACTGGATTTAAAATCAATTACTGTTGATTTGAAACAAACTAAACTTGTGCTGAATTCCAATTCAATTGAATTTTGGTTAAATTCAAATTCAATTCTGTTTAATTCAAATTATTTGCAGAATTCAAATTCAACCTAAATTCTACTGGGTCCAAATTCAATATCAACTCTTCTTGATTCAAACTGCTGAGGTCTGTGATGGATTCAGTCTGGTCTCTGAGACGCTGAGTGTTTGGAAAAGAAGCTGAAACTCTAAACTGGTTCAAACCAGCCGTCTGTTCTCCACGTCCTCCTCCTGTATGACGTCGACTGGATGAGTAAAACTAGTGCAGCTGCGTCAGGAGGATGAAAAACAGACTTCATATAAAATTCCTGTACATTTACAAACCCAAAACAAATAAATTACATCTCTCATATTTCTGTACATCTGTGCAAAACCAGACCCGACCTCCACCGAACCCCCGCGTGGAGCTGCAGGAGAACCTCCTCAACACGTCAATCAGAAACAAACACAAACACACACTCGTTCCCACTGATACAGCGGCTCAGCTCGGCTCCGAGAAGCGCCGAGATACAGAAAAAACAGGACGCGTTAAGACGCAGGCTGAACAGAGGGAGGAGAAACTACCGCTGCAGCCAGCTTAGTTCAGTCTGAAAGGGGAATTCCACCCAGTTTACAAAATTTCTGCTTAATTAAATGGAAAAGATGTAAACAGAGTCGTTCAGAGTGGTTTGGTGTGAAACGATGTTCTGGAGAAACTTATCAGAATTGTTTACAGTGGTGGTGATAGGAACCAGACGTCTAAAGTGTTTAAAGGGCCCATAAACTACATTTTTAAACTTTTAAACAGGCATAAACAATTTGTACACAACCATTTTTCAGCCTCTCTTTATCCCCTAGAATGCTAAATGCTCTTGTTACTGTGACTTTAAGACTGGTACATGTTAATGAGCTCTATTCTGATTGGCTGCCAGGCTGAAACCTTATAAGTGAGTGAGCTAAACTGCTACAGGCTGAATAGGTGGATATATGTAAATGTGTTGGTTTTCCATATATGGACTGTACGGACTGAGGAGGGAACAGTACGTGTGGACATTTTAACACTGTTTACATATTACACACATACAAGGAAGGAGAATTCAGGTTTCCATGACGTGGGTCCTCTAATGCCTCTAAAAGCTCCCTCACAGAAAGTTACTACATGACATGGTTATGAATTCACTGCCTGATGTCTGAGACAGTTTTATGACAGTTTTGAGAAGATTTTGGCCATTTTTAACTCCATTCATGGTGGAGGGATACATGCAGGGCACTGTGAGGCAAAATAGTCCCCAAAGAAAACTTATTATTTCAGATTTTCCACTATTTTCCATCATCAACATTCCATATAGACTCAGAAGACTCGTGTAGGTTCACTGGTGGTTCTGGATAGTAAATAAAATGTCTATATTTGTGTTGTAGTCATGGCGACCCCTGGTTCCTATCACCACCACTGTAAAGAACCATTTCACACCAAACCCACTCTGAATCACTCTGAATTTACACTGAATTGCAGAAAAGTTTGGTGGACTTCCCCTTTGAAAGTAACAATTCAATGAAAAATCAAATAAACACAGTTTTCCTCTTACATCAAACATAGTCAATCAGCCAGGTCATGTTTGGTGTCTGATGTTTGCTTCTTTAGTTTTAGCACTGGAGCACGTGTCTCACACACTCGCCACAAGGTGGAGCTGTTCAGTGTCTCTAATAGACTTAGTGATGTGGTTTCTGACCCTGTATGACTCACTGTTACCTATAAACATGGACTAAAGTGGGTCACATCGTCTACTTTTACACACTCTTAAAAATGATGGTGCTTCATAAGTTTAATACAGAAAATGGTTCTATATAGAACCTTTTTGAAACGGGAACGATACAGCATCCAAAAGAGATCTATTGATACAAGCTTGACACTGTAAACAACAGAAGAACCCTTTTGGGTGCTATATAGAACCATCTATAGCTCATTCATGCACTATTTCCAACAATCTGAAGAACGTCATGTAGAGGGTTCTTTGAGTGCTCATGGCTCCATATAGAAACATTTTCTATACTAAAGAAACTTCAAAGCATCTTTTTAAGAGTGTAGATAACAGCATAAGATGCTATTAACATTTAAACATCAAATTATGCACTGAAAAGGTCATTAGCATCAAAAATGAGAGTTAAGACAACATTTCAACCATTTACACCACCGTTCTAAAGTTTAGAACCACTTTTCATATTAATAATTTGTTATTTTTACGCAGAACAACAACTTATACAATGCATTTTTAAATAGTCTCGACAAATTTAGACAACAAAGGGTAGTTTTAGATGGTCTAATGAATATTTTAAGAACTTTTGGCAACAGCAAGAACTTATTACATGCTAAAAAATACTGTAGGTACCCATTTATAGTTATTAATTATAGTCATAAATTATCTTTGATGAATTGTGATCACTTTTGACATGGATTATGCATATGAATATTGATTTTATTATGGATATAATTTTATTATAATTTAATTTTATCAATGCACCCATTTTAGAATATCCTCCATCGTTCTGGACACATTCTATATTTACTTTTTTAATTATTTATTTACGTTTTACAGCTTCCTGATAATGATATGTAATTATATGGTCGTGCAAATTTGTGCTGAACATCACATTAGAACCATTTATGTAATGATCTGCCACTGCAGTGCTTTTATAGTACTGAAAAACATGATTCGAAACTTCTGAACGGTGGTGTACGTCTCGAGTTTACAGTAAAAATGGACAAAACATACATTTGACAGAGGAGGAAAGTTGTGTAAATGACATTTTCACCGAAGTGGTTGTTCTAGGGGAGAATACAGTTTTGTTAAGTTGTAAATTTGTAAACGTTCGTAAAGTGTACAGTATAAGAATCCGCCTAAACATCATAAATACACATCAAAAAGAGTTATCATTAACATATCTGACAAAATAACTTGTGGACAGGAGATGAAACATGCTACTAAAGGTTATTGGCATCTGGAATGAAAGTTAAGACGACTGTTCGACCATTTTCATCCCACGTTTTGGCGACAAGTACAATAACGGCAAGGCAGATGATCAAAACACAGCAGGAAAAATAAAAGAACTCATCTGAATCTGAAATATAACGTATATCCATGTAAATGTTATGTTCGGTCGTCTAATACTGCAGAGAGAAATGGCAAAACGGTTCTGCGCTAATGAGAAACATGGCAATAAGAATCAGGGCTCGCGCCACTCAGCTCAGACAAGGAGGGTGGAAACTACAGGAGTTTATCTCGTATTGCTTCTACAGGTTGGTTTACAATATTTTACAACACTGAGGTCGGAACCACTTTGGGAGGAACAATCGATCGATCTCTCTTTTTTTTAAGGTACAATAAGTAAAATGTTCAGATTTACTGCCGGCTCAATGTCAGTTATGCTGTCAGTAATGACAGAGTCTTGAATTTTTAATGTAGTTTTCCTGTAAAAAATGTCTCAAAAATGTTCAACATAAAAAAATTAGATCATGTGGTAACAAGTAGTTTTATTCAACCTACATAAATACTTCAAATGAACGATTCCCAAATTTAAAAATTCTAATTTTTTTGAGTTGAATAAAACCAGTTCAATTGCTTGTTACTACATGAAGTAATTTTTTAGGCTGAACTGAGTTTTACAGTGTATGTTATACATGTTATAACTAATTTACCAGTGAAATTATTTTTTCTTTTAGGTTTTCCTTCACAGTTCTTTTATTACTTTTTTTTTAATTGTAGAGCATTTTTTAACTGTAGAACGTTTTTTAGCATTTATTCACTGGAGATTACGGTCATATGCAAAAAATTAAATTAAATTTCATGTTAAATTTTCTAAGTGAAAAAATACACTAAAAAAAACGGCTCATTAGTTCAACCTAAAATAAATACATCATGTGGTAACAAGTAGTTTTATTCAACCTACAAAAATACTTTTTTTTTAATTGAGAATCGTTAATTCAAATTTTTTTTTGAGTTGAATAAAACTAGTCCAATTGCTTTTTACTACATTAAGTAATTTTTTTAAGTTGAACTGAGGAGGCATTTTTTTGTAGTGTATGTTATACAAATTTTTAACTAATTTTCCAGTGAAATTCAAGTTTTTGTTTTTTTTTAGTTTTTTTCCAGTTATTTTATTACTTTTTTTATTTTAGAGCATTTTTAACTAGCATTAGCATTTTTTCTTTTTTATATTACTGAAGATTACATTCATACGCAAAAAATTAAATTCCATGTTTTGTTGATTTTCTAATTGGAAATTACACTGTAAAAAGTGGCTCATCAGATCAACCTGAAAAAAATACTTCATGTAGTAACAAGAAATTGAACAGATTTTATTCAACTCAAAAATTACTCTGATTGAAAGAATCATTCATTCAAAGTATTTATTTAGGTTGAACAAAACTAGTTAATTTATTTGTTACCACATGAGGTAATTTTTTTAAGTAGATCTGATGAGCAACTTTTTACAGTGTAACACATCCTCTGCAGAGAACACACTTAAATATGGCATCTCCATGAAAATGTTAGTGCACAATCTTTGTTTAACTGCTGAGTTCAACATACTGGGGGGAAAAAAAACTAAATATAACGTAAAAAAGGTCAGTAAACTTTCAGTAAATAAACATTAATTATGCGTTAAAAATGTGCAGAAGTGTGTTCTCTGTAGAGACAAACACAACAATATTTGACCAAAGGTGCACACACTTTTGCATACGACTGTGCTCTCTTGAAATCTTATTGAAAAAAAAAAAATAAAAAATTTTACACCTAATGCTTGAAAAACAACAACATATCCCACCAATTTAATACTATTTCAGTTCAAATATGACAATATAATTTAAATAAATTTTTGTTTTATTTGAATTTATAAGTTTTTCCCCCAAAATTTTTTCACCTGAGCTTTTATTTATGTGAACTCTGCTGCCCATAATGTTGCACACTATGCAGAATTTCTGCACTTAAATCTGATTTAACAGTCGGCAAAGACTCTGTTAGTACGTTAAAGCAAAGTTCCAGCCTAGTTTGTAGTAACAAAACTGGACTAAAACCCTGCTAATACAGCTTCCCTTACCTACAAATCTATGAAATGCAGATATTATAATATTTTGCCAAGCACAAATTGAAAATTCTGCTTATTGTACCTTTAATCTGGACAACATGATCTTCAGAATCTAGAAAACCCCAAAACTGCAGACGTCGTCATGCAGCAGAGACTTAAACGTTGCCCTACTGAGCATCTACATTTGTTATCTGTGTGTTTTAGTGTGTTTTCTGGCAAAAAAAAAACAAAAGAAACATAACAAAACATAAATAAAGTCTTTGTATACTGAGCCTCGGAGAAGAAGTCTGTGCAAGAAGTCAAGCAGGAGGCTCCAATTTGTTTTCTAATTTGGAAACAGACACTCGTCTAACTGCTTTAGCCGTCTAAGAAGAGTTTAGAGTACTGTGTAAAAGTCAGAGAGCACCTTTAATTCATTTCACTGCCAGTTAAAACAGCCAGTAAGTGCAAACTATTCATTCTACAGCATAAATAAAAAGAAAATGTTTAATAGAAAATTAAACTCAGCAGCCAAATCTACTCTCTGCTGTTTGAGTGTTCAGTAAGTCACTCTTTCCCTTTATTCCAGCTTCCATTCTTTTCAGGAGCCTCACTTTCAGCTCCTCAAAGAATCTGCAGACACACCTCCAAAGTTCAGTCTTAGAAGCTGTTTTTCTGCCTCTTACAGTCCATGAAGACGCTACATGTTCACTTGCAGCTTCGCCTTTAGATTTAACTTCTTGCAAATGAAACTTTTACAGTTACACTCCTAAAAAAACACAGTTCCTCAAGGGTTCTTTAGTAAAGAGGACGCTTCTATGAGAACCATGAGTTCTTTATAGAACCATTTCATGCTTAAACAGTGATAACATGGTTCTGCAGACTGATGGAGAATGTGTTGCATTTGTTTCTATATAGAACCTTTTTGAAAATGGTTCTATGTAGCACCAAAAAGGCTTACAAGCGTGACACTGTAACAGTAGAAGGACCTTTTTGGTGCTGTATAGAACCACACACATCATAGTCTTCATCAATCTGAAGAGCCATTTAAGCATGCAAATGGTTCTATATAAAACTCATGGTTCTAAATGGAACTATTACCTTTACTGAAGAACCATCTTTCAAGAATGTAGACTGGCATACATAACTGTCCAAGAGAAAAACGAACAGCGACGTCTCTCTAACTCATCTTCGAATTCAAGTCAGTTTTATATAATTATGAAAATTTCTGGTTTCATATGAACAGATTTGGAAGTGAGACGCTTGATTGGATGTAGCTCACACGCTTTGAGCGGGGAACCATAGAGAGCCCGCTTTCTAGCTTGTGTGGATGAACGATGCAAAATTATGTAAAAAAATTTAAAAATAAAAACCATATCGCTGCTGTCGGAGGAAAACCTTCTTTTTCAGTTTTTGTTTTTGTTTTTCAGTTTTTGACATCATTTGAAAGTAACTACTGTCCTTTTACATCGTGTGTAAATTTCATGATGAATGGATCAAAAGAAACAACCTAAAATGACCTCACAAAAACTCTGGTTCCATTGACTTACATTAAAAGTAAAGTAGGTTTTTTCCTTCTCCTGTAAAGTTACCATTTTGGAGATGCCAGGTTTTGTTCCGACAGCAGTGATATGTCTGTACTTTAGTCTCTTTGTAAGCTTATGTGCAACAGCGAACAGCGTATCTGATTGTTCACTGCTCCACATTATGTTCAGTACTGTTCCTTAATTTCCATAACAACAAAGAAACGCCCACCAGCGGTGAGAAAAGAGGTCTAGCACGACGAAATGCAGCGAGAAATAATGCATAAGCATAATGAGCATAAATATAAATGTGGATTTTTTTACATCTGAAGCAAAGAGTGGAGCTTGATTTTCTCCTCTCTCTCAAAGGTCAAGGCTTTAAGTGCTGTTTATCTGATGGGGCAGTTTTGGTGTCTACCAGGTCTTCCAGGTGGTTGTTAGGAGCCACATTTTCTTTGGAGCTTTTAATAATTACTCTAATTTTGGAAACTCTCTTATTCTCCCTCTTTATCCAAGTGGACCATCTTATACTTAATCTCCTCACAAATATCTCTTTAAAAATGAACAACAAGTACTTAAAGTCTGTTTAGACTGTAAGCTGAATAAATAATGGTGCTCTCTGACTTCCCTGCAGTACTGTATGTGTTTGTGTAGGAGCAGAAGGGCAGCAGTTTCTCCGTCCACTAAGACCAAGGGTGGAAAGCTGCTGGCTATCCACACAACCATGGCAACAAAGATCGGTTCAGTATCTTTTTGGGTACGAAAAGCAGAGTTTTTATCCGATGAGTCTCCTGAGAAGGGCAGGTTTGGAGAAAGGCCAGCAGTACTCGTTGGGCACGGGGCCGTTGACGTTGCACTCGAAGAAGGAGAACATGGGGAACCATATGCGCGCGCGGCGGCTGTGCTGGTATGCCCGCGTGTTGGCCAGCGTGTGGTAATACAGGAACAGACGGGTGGTGATGTAGAAGGCGATGAAGACGTCGATGGAGTAGTGCTCGTGAGCGGCCAGGATGAAGAAGATTCCAAACAGGTTCAGCACCCACGACAGCGTGTGGATGAAGTTCCAGCTCCGCGGCGTGTCTGCAGCACAGAGAGAGAGAGAACCACGACAAATAAACACTGAGAGACAAACACCAAATAAACACTATCGATACTAGTTCATTTAAACCCTGAGGGCCCCATTTTCGTTACTACATATTCTCATTACTACATGCTTTACAGTTATCAGACTATCAAGTTACTTATAGCATAACATTATGACCCCCACCTTGTTTCTACGCTCATTGTCCATTTTATCAGCTCCTACAGTTACAGACTGTGGTCCATCTGATTCTCTGATACTTTGTTAGCCCCCTTTTATCCTGTTCTTCAGTGGTCAGGACCCCCATGGACCCTCACAGAGCAGGTACTATTTGGGTGGTGGATCATTCTCAGCACTGCAGTAACACTAACGTGGTGGTGGTGTGTAGGTGTGTGTTGTGCTGGTCTGAGTGGATCAGACACAGCAGTGCTGCTGGAGTTTTTAAACACCTCAGTGTCACTGCTGGACTGAGAATAGTCCACCAACCAAAAATATCCAGCCAACAGCGTCCTGTGGGCAGCGTCCTGTGACCACTGATGAAGGACTAGAGGATGATCAACACAACCTGTGCAGCAGCAGATGAGCTATCGTCTCTGACTTTACATCTACAAGGTGGACTGACAAGATAGGAGTGTCTAATAGAGTGGACAGTGAGTGGACACAGTGTTTAAAAACTCCAGCAGCACTGCTGTGTCTGATCCACTCAGACCAGCACAACACACACTAACACACCACCACCACGTCAGTGTCACTGTAGTGCTGAGAATAACCTACCACACCTGCTCTGTGAGGGTCCATGGGGGTCCTGACCACTGAAGAACAGGGTAAAAGGGGGCTAACAAAGTATCAGAGAAACAGATGGACTACAGTCTGTAACTGTAGAACTACAAAGTGCACCTATATAGTAAGTGGAGCTGATAAAATGGACAATGAGCGCAGAAACAAGGAGGTGGTCAGAATGTTATGCCTGGTTGGTGTACACACATATACACAATATACACTAGTATTTGCTCTAGTATTCCAATGTACAGTTGTACAGTAATAAGTTATGAAACTAAACTGTATGTAGTTGTACACATTGCCGTATGTGCAGTCTGAGTCTGAGGTAGGTAAATTTCATATCCGTGATGGGTGTATTTGTGTATTTGTGTTCTGACTCACATTCAGTGACGAAGAAGTTGAGCATGGTGAGGACGACGGTGTGTCCACTGAACATGTAGTCGCCGCAGGTCTGAACACCCGTCAGAGTCATTCCGAACCCACTCCAGATCGCCACGGCCCGCTGCAGCTTCGCCCACATATCACCATACATCTACAGGGGGGGGAGAGGGGGAGAGAGGGAGAGAGAGAGAGAGAGAGAGAGAGAGAGAGAGAGAGAGAGAATGAGAGAGAATGAGAGAGAGGGGAGAGAAAAGAGAATAGAGAAATAGAGAGAGACAGATAGGGAGAGGGACAGAGAGAGAGAGAGAGAGGGAGAGAGAGAGAGACAGACAGACAGATAGGGAGAGAGAGAGAGGAGAGAAAAGAGAGAGAGACAGACAGACAGACAGAGAAGGGGGAGAAGGAGAGAGAGAAAGAGAGAGAGAGAGAGAGGGAGGAGAGAGAATGAGAGATAAGAAAGAGAAAGGGGAGAGAAAAGAGAATAGAGAAATAGAGAGAGACAGATAGAGATAGGGAGAGAGAGAGAGAGAGAGAGGGGGGGGGAGAGAGAGGGGGGGAGAGAGAAGGGAGAGAAAAGACAATAGAGAGACAGACAGACAGACAGAGACGGGGGGAGAGAGAGAGACAGACAGAGAGAGAGAGAGAGACAGAGGTAGAGAGAGGGGAGAGAAAGAGAAAAAGAGTGAGAGAGACAGACAGTCAGAGAGAGAGAGAGAGAGAGAGGAAAGAGAGACAGAGGCAGAGAGAGAGGAAGAGAAAGAGAGAGGGAGAGAGGGAGAGGGGGAGAAAAGAGCAGAGAGAGAGACAGACAGAGACAGAGAAAGAGGCAGAGAGAGACACAGAGAAACATAAAAACACAGTAAAAGTATTTTAAAATAAACTGTAATCAGGTTTGGGCCGACACCTCCCAAAAGAAAATACCCTTTACATGATTTTGTGCATATTCAGCTCATCATTATCTCTATTAACGCTTTGGGTTTAATTACATCAGAACATAATCCAGTAAATATCAAACGTCTGAACACTGTTTTGTAGTAGTTGTTACTGTGGGAGCTCAGTTTAAGCTAATTCAGTAAAATGGCCCATATAAAGTGTAGGAGTACCTTCCCGGTGCACTGCAGGTGCTGCCCTGGCACTGAGAGGGAAGTGACAAACATGGTGATGCAGCGCAGCATGAAGACCGTCCCCATCAGGCTGCACAGCCTCCTCAGCAGGATGGACCTGAACACGCAGACACGCAGAACTGGGTCAGGACAGCGCAGCACTCAGTAGATCAGCTTTAAAGCCTCAGTGGATCAGAGCCACACCTTCGCTCTCAGTTACAGTTACTGCAGCTCAGATACAGCTGCATGCAAAAGTTTAAACACCCCTGGTAAAAGGACGTCGTTTACACCTGGTACCTTCATGTGTCTTGAGTATCAGGATTATATCTGGATGAGGCAAAGCCACACATGTTTCACCTGCGTGGAATGAGCGACACGTATAGTCATGCTTTTATTTCGCCGCCCATGTTAACTGGTCAGCGCTTTCACAGAAGCTGTGTGTGCGAAGCAGCAGAGCGTTCCAGATGGTGCACTGAAGCAGCGCAGTATTTAGAGAATAGACCCAGCACCAATTTTTTCGGCGCGTTGTGCGCGTTACACAGCAAAAAACACTGAAATAAGCCATTAAAACCAGTGAAAATCAAACAGAAAACTGTGTACAAACTTAAAAACACTTATTTAATTTAATTCATGATGAAATCCTAGTTAAACATTCTGTGCTACAGACAGGTTTCCCGGTTGGTCTACCAGCCTTGAAACTTTTGCCTAATCAGAAGTCAGAATGCTGTTGAGGATAAACAAACATACCGTGCACATTTATATATGATATTTTTATTGATCAGAGTGAGTGACGTGACCATTTATCCAGCTGGAAAAAGGAATGTCTGTATAACTGTCTCGCTGCTCTGCAGCACAAATGCTGTATGTATGAAAGGCCAGGGTGTTCAAGCTGTAGCGCTTGCACCACGCAGAAGCAGTGTGTGTGAATAAGGCCTAAGTGTAAATGCATCCAAGATGCTTTTAAAACAGATACAAGTCGACCGAAATGGTTGGGGACTGGATAAAAAAAAAGCTTCATAGCTTAACGATTTGTGGTGCAACTCTAAAAGAACAGTTTGAAACTAACTAGTGCAAACTAAAGACTTTAAACTAAAACTTAAGTACAATCTTAAAAATGATGGTTCTACAAGCGTTCTTTAGGCAAGGCAAGTTTATTTGTATTGCACCTTTCATACACTGCTGTAAATCAAAGTGCTTTAGAAAAGAAAACGGTTCCATATAGGACCATGGCTTTTCAAAAAGGTTCTATATAAAACCATATAAAACACATTTTCCATTAAAGCAGAGCAAAGTAAGTCTGTGTTTTCATTTACGTTATATTTTTTATCCTATACTAGTACATCAGCACATACTGAGACATATTTACAGCCAAGATGGGAAAATAGATATAAAATGTTGTGGCTCCCAAGGAGGTTTGATTTTTGTTGAAAGGACAAAATGGCTCTTCTTAGGATTTGGGTTGGCAACCCCTGTCTTAGTGTGAGGTGCCCAAACTGAGACAAAGGCCTAAACCAAGTGAAGAAATCCTTGCTGGTGGTTATTAGCAGTGTTATCTGACAGGTCAGTCTAAGGCAGCTTCAGTCTGATGGTCTGAACTCCAGACTGCAGCGCCTAAACTGCTCCGAGATATTTTTAGAACTGGGAACATCAGCCTGGAAAAACCCAGGACTCTTCTTAAACCATCACACGTTCACCTCAAACTGTGTGGAGGTGTTCAGTATGTCTAACAGACCTGATTATGTGGTTTCTGACACTGTATGACTGTTATCTATAAACATGGACTAAAGTATGTCAGCATAGCTAAAAACAGCAGCCTGAATTTTGTCTGTACTTCAGTCCATTTTTATAGATTAAGTCTTGTGAGTGGTGTGTGTGAGTGAGTGTGAGTTCACCTGTGTTTGTGCAGCAGCAGCACGAGCAGCCAGATATTACACAGGATCAGACCACACGCCTCAGCCATGGCGAAGGCCCAGGGGATTCTGGGTACACTGTAGAAAAGAGGGGAAACCGTTAATCCTCTTACAGACACGCTGAGCTTCATCAACTTGATCTTTCCTTTTGATTTTAATATCAGACTCACTGCATACAACTGCATGACCACCACACCTGCGCCTAAAAGCTGTTATTCACACATTTTCAGTGTTTTACCTGCAATCACACACCTCACCCTGTACGATTCATGCACGATTCAACTTATGCATGATTCGACTCACGTACAATTCAACTCATCGTGTACAATTAAACTCATCATGAACAATTCAACTCATCATGTATGGTTCATGTACGATTTAACTCATGTAGTATTCAATTCATCAACTTGTGCTCGATTCAACTCATACAATTCACCTCAGCATGTACGGTTCAATTCATCATGTACGGTTTGATTCATCAACTTATGCTCGATTCAACTCATACAATTCACCCCAGCATGTACGGTTCGATTCAACTTCTGTACGGTACAATTTATCATGTATGATTCATGTAAGATTCAACTTATGCATGATTCAACTCACGTGCAATTCAACTCATCATATACGATTCCACTCATGTACGATTCATGTACGAATCAACTCATCATGTACAATTCATGTACGAATCAACTCATCATGTACAATTCATGTATGATTCAAATTCATGTATGATGTAGGATTTAACTCATCAACTTACGCTTGATTGAACTCGCATACAATTCATCAATTATGTATGGTTCAATTAATCATGTATGATTCAACTCAGGTATATATCAGATATATCAACTCGTACAAATCAACTCATTATGTACGACTGATGTACAATTCAACTCGTCATATTCAGTTCATGGTGAGTTGAATCATAATTCACTCAACTCATCGCTTACAATTCAACTCATCAGGTACAATTCATGTATGGTTCAACTCATGCTACAACTCAAAAACACTAATTTTACAAATTATAAATACAAGTGATATTGATACAATAGGTATTAATTTAATGTCTGTCAATGTCCTGGAAGCCTGGTATTAAGTGCAGTTAGCTAATCAATCCTTAACAATGTTAAATGCTGCTGATGGAATTCAACAAATCCCAGAGATATCCAAAAGCATCCAGGACAAATCTGGAACCAAGCTCTATTCTTTAAAAGAGCTTAAATGATATCAATATTTTTGAAAAGAAAAACAGACACTTCTGTGTTTACGTTTACATGTATCTGCTCTAATGATATATGGGGTTTTAAATAATGTACTTAAGTGCTTTTGCACAGTGCTGTACTGTAACGTATCTTCCTTGGTATGAAGAGCAGGTCTTAAATAATGATTTGACAGTTTTCTTTATCAAACTATTGTAAAAAGCACAGATTGAAACTCTTCTGACCAAAAAGTGGTTTATGAAGTGGGATAAAGTACATGAGCTTTGGCTTTATTACCAACGTGGAGCTTTTAGTTTTGCAGTTTCCTGTTCCGGTTCTGCTGGAGTTTTTAAACGCCTCAGTGTCACTGCTGGACTGAGAATAGTCCACCAACCAAAAATATCCAGCCAACAGCGTCCTGTGGGCAGCGTCCTGTGACCACTGATGAAGGACTAGAGGATGACCAACACAAACTGTGCAGCAGCAGATGAGCTATCGTCTCTGACTTTACATCTACAAGGTGGACTGACAAGGTAGGAGTGTCTAATAGAGTGGACAGTAAGTGGACACAGTGTCTAAAAACTCCAGCAGCACTGCTGTGTCTGATCCACTCAGACCAGCACAACACACACTAACACACCACCACCACGTCAGTGTCACTGCAGTGCTGAGAATGATCCACCACCCAAATAGCACCTGCTCTGTGAGGGTCCATGGGGGTCCTGACCACTGAAGAACAGGGTAAAAGGGGGCTAACAAAGTATCAGAGAAACAGATGGACTACAGTCTGTAACTGTAGAACTACAAAGTGCACCTATATAGTAAGTGGAGCTGATAAAATGAATTATTTTAATCATGTTTTTAATGTCTATTCTGCTTTACTTTTTAAATGACTCCATCTTTTCATGTGTAAAGCACTTTGAATGACATCAGGGTGTGAAAGGTGCTATATAAGTGAACTTGCCTTGCCGGGTGGAGCTCAGTGATGAGTACATCGGAAAACCCGACACGCAGAGTCATTTTTCCAATTTTGCGCAATGCGCTTCGGCCAATTGTTTCAGCGCAGCCAACAGGAGAGCAGCGGGTGGGTCTGGTAGCTCCTCTCACCACCCAAAGCTTGGTTTTATCACAGAACTGCACTCGTGAGTGGTATGAAAGGGGTCCGATTTCTTGTCTTAACTCCATTAGAAGACCCCTTTCACACCACTCACGAGTGTGCAGTGCTTGCAAAGTGGGCAGCGTTCTCTGATAAATCTGACCTTTTGGGTGGCGAGAGGAGCTACCAGACAAGCCTCCTGCTCTCCTCCTATCACTGCAAACCCAAAAAGCACGGAGGTCATCTGGTTCCCTTTCAGGTTCTCTTTAACAGAACTAGGTACGGTTAATGTGAAAAACAGCCACACACGGGCGTGTTAAACCCACTCACCTGTCCAGGAAGATGTCGGGCAGTGGAGGATAGGTGCGCATGTCCGGCACGCGCTCATGGACGATCACCATGACGAAGGAGGTGAAGCCGAAGACGAAGACGACGTAGATGGAGCTGAGGACGGTTTTCCAGTATTCCGGGTCCAGCCGGCGACTCTGCTGCTTGTGCTTTCCGTTACTGTACTGGTACGGTTCTCCACCGAGAGCATCAACACTGTCACAGTCCCGCACCGACTCTCCGTTACACAGCCACTCTCCACCTGCGGACACACACAAACACGCCTCGCTCACACACTGACTTACTGAGGAGTCAAATTTACTATCAGCACAACAGTCTGAGTGAAAAGTAGAATCTCTAAATGTTTACATGAAGTTCAGAACAGATTTCATGAACTCCATAAGTTCAAAAGCATCTGATCAGCAGGTCAAATACAACCGAGAGTCGTCTGAACAAGAGCGCCAAAGGAAGGAATAAGACAAAAAAATTGTGATTTGGGAAAAATATGATGTTGCGGTACAGCGAGAACTTATAAACAATATATAGTAAACAAACAGTAGTGTTACCTAAAAAACTAATTAAAAACAACACGATTTTTATTCAATATCTGGAATTAAATCCAGTTAAATGGGACAAATATTTGCTCTCTTTATAATGAAACACAAGGTGGTCAGAAAAGCATATTGTATTGTACTGTTATACACCAATCAGGCATAACATCCTTGTTGTCCATTTTATCAGCTTTACCCTGTTCTTCAGTGGTCAGGACCCCCATGGACCCTCACAGAGCAGGTACTATTTGGGTGGTGGATCATTCTCAGCACTGCAGTAACACTGACGTGGTGGTGGTGTGTTAGTGTGTGTTGCGCTGGTCTGAGTGGATCAGACACAGCAGTGCTGCTGGAGTTTTTAAACACCTCAGTGTCACTGCTGGACTGAGAATAGTCCACCAAAAAAAAATATCCAACCAACAGCGTCCTGTGGGCAGCGTCCTGTGACCACTGATGAAGGACTAGAGGATGTGAAACTGTGCAGCAGCAGATGAGCTATCGTCTCTGACTTTACATCTACAAGGTGGACTGACAAGGTAGGAGTGTCTAATAGAGTGGACAGAGAGTGGACACAAGAACAGGGTAAAGGGGGCTAACAAAGTATGCAGAGAAACAGATGGACTACAGTCTGTAACTGTAGAACTACAAAGTGCACCTATATAGTAAGTGGAGCTGATAAAATGGACAATGAGCAGAGAAACAAGGAGGTGGTCATAATGTTATGCCTGATTGGTGTAATTTATCATGATAACATTACATATTGAGGTGGGTATAGTGTAGTGTGATACACCTCTGCCTTCTATACTGTAGACTGGGCTTCAAGCACCCTGCACTATACCAGAGTCCTTGGGCAAGACTCCTAACACTACCTTCACCTACCTGTGTAAAATGATCAAACTGTAAGTCGCTCTGGATAAGAGCGTCTGCCAAATGCTGTAAATGTAAAAATATTGCGATATTACCCAGTTAGGGCTGAACGATTTGTGGAAAATATCTAATTGCGATTTTTCTGACAAATATTGCGAATGAGAACTGCGTTTTTTTTAATTGAGGTTCTGAGGCTCGACCCCTGAACGCACTGTATCAAACTGCCAGTAAGCTGTGGTTGTGATGTCACAAAACATGGAGATTTTCTTGCCTCTGATTGGTCTAACTCACCTACAGGCAGTTCACAAACTCTTATTAGGTTCCGTTTCCCCTCTTAAAACTTAAAACAACGTTTTTTGCTACAGTACACACATAAAGATGGTTCTTCAAGGGTTCTTTAGTAAAGACAATGGTTCTATATAGAACCATAAAGAGACAGCAACTCATTTGCATGCATAAAAAGTTCTCTGTGTGGTGAAACGGTTCTTCAGATTGATAGAGAATGTGATGTATATGGTTCTATACCGAACCTTTTTTAGCCTTTCTTAAGTTCTCAATATGTTCAAAATGTTCTACTATTGATAAAGGTTTGACATCAACAAGCAACAAAATAACAGTACCAATCCTTTTTGATGCTATACAGAACCGCACCAACACGTTCTCCAATCGGAAGAACTATTTCACCAGGCAAAGAACTTTGAAGAAAGAAAATTGCAGCTCTTGCGATTTGAAAATTGCACTGCCTTAAATTGTGATTTATATAAAAACGATAATCTTTCAGCCCAATACCCAGCGCTAGTTAATATCACAAGGTTGCTTCAATTTGAATAGTGAGCTAGAAATAGTACAGTATTTGTTATATTTGTTCATTTTAATTGTAATTTAACATTTTTCAAGATTTTAAAAATTTCTGTTATTTCCTAATACGCACCCACCCACACACACACACTCACACACACACAGGGGTACTGAGAATGTAGCTGACTGACTAACACTGTACAGTCATAATACAGTTACATTGATGACATTTAAGAGTCTCTTAATCAGCGCAAAATATAGAAGTGTTTTATCATCTATGTGGAAAAACCTGCTATTCCAGTACAAACAGGCCAGAGTCTCAATATACAACACAACACAGGACCAGTCTGTGACTGATGTATTGTAGTCTGTGTCCAGCTGTGTCAGCCTCCACTGGTATGTTTAATGAAAGGTCTCTTTCTGACCAGCAGCAGCTGAAACCAAAAAGCTACATATTTGCAATTATAAGCTGCCACCAACCGAATACCAACAATTTTATTTATTTATTTGCCAGTTTTTCTCCCCAAAGTTAGTCTTTTTAGCCAATTCACACATGCTGTTCAGGCCTGGTCGTCACAGCTTCTTTCTTTTCTGTATGTTTTCATACCAAGTGACAAAACGGCTGAACATGGAGGAAAACACTTGCTAATCCACTCTGTATAGGTTCAATAAAAATGGAAAAAAAAGGATTTCGCGAAGCTAAAAACAGCTGTAAAATCTATCCTGAAGCCTCAAAGCTCCAGCATTAAACTACAGAAAAGGGACACACGACGATATTGGAATCGTGTCAGTATATAATTGTGTTAAATATTTTTTAAAATTAGACAGGAGTTGCCATGCGATGGACTGGCGACCTGTCCAGGGTGTATCCTGCCTTCCGCCCAATGACAGCTGGGATAGGCTCCAGCACCCCACCGCGACCCAGAAGGATATGCGGTTTAGATGATGGATGGATGGATAGACAGGAGTTTAGATTTGACTGACATTTCAAGCTGATATTTGATGAAGTATTTATTGTACTCAGAAAAAGCAGAATGTTTAGACTGGATTAGGCTACATTCAGACAGCGGTGTGTATTAAAAGTCTACGTCTTTTGCGAAGTGGAGAGGATCTTTATGGGGGGTGCTGAAGGCAGGAATTTCACTGGGAAGCGTTTTTCAGAAAGTTGGAGCGTCAGTGCACGCTCTCACTACAAAATCACTCCCATATCGCTCCATCCCGCAAGCCAGACAGTCCTTTTCTCCACACACTGGCCACCTCCATAGGACATGAGTGATGCAGCAACCGAACTGCCACAGCTGGCACTGAGCACAACGAAGTGCTACAGATGTTGCACACAGTTCGTCTCATGTCGTCCATTTCGCTGCGTGAATGATAAAGTATGTACATTTGTTTACACTCTCAGGTTTCTGGCTTGTGATTGGGCCATTATTTCAAGACTATGTCTTCCAAAAAAGCCTCTGAAGCACAAAAAAAACATTTTTTTGTCTAATAACAGCCATAAATTATTTAATTCATGAAATGAAGTGTGTAGCGTCTTGTCCACACATTCAAGACATAAAATAAATACAGTGAGAGTAAATCACACGGAGCGGGTTTTCTCTGATGTGTGAGAAACTGAAAACCAGGAGCGGAACTGGAGCGGATTGATGACAGAACCAGGGCTGAACGATTTGTGGAAAATAAATAAATAAATAAATGGGTGTGCTGTATGTGGTTCTGCACAGCATCAAAAAGGGTTGGCACTGTTACTTTGTCGCCTGTTGATGTCAAACTTATAACAACAGAAGAACATTTCGGTCCTATAGAGAACTCTCTTCAAAAAGGTTCTGTATGGAACCATATACATCACATTCTCTATCAATCTGAAGAACCATTTCACCACGTAGAGAACTTTTTATGCACGCAAATGGGTTGCTGAGTCCTTATGGTTCTACACAGAACCACTGTCTTTACTAAAGAACCCTTGAAGAACCATCTTTATTATGTGAGTGGATTAGCAAAAACATTGTTTTAAGCTAAACCTAATAAGTTGAACCTAATAAGAGTTTGGGAAATGCCTGTAGGTGACTTAGACCAATCAGAGTCAACCAAACCTGCATGTGTTGTGACATCACAACCACAGCTTACTGGCAGTTTGATACACTACGTTCAGGGGTCGAGCCTCAGAACCTCAATTAAAAATCAATTAAAGAACAAATCGTGCAGCCCTAGTAACACAAGAACATACAAATAAGCAGTTAAACACCAATAAGTGCCACAATGAGCTGCTCTATCTGATGAATTTGAATATCTGATTAACAGGTTTAGTGCTGATTAATAGGGAAGACAAAGTAACCAGCAACATCTGAGCTTTAACAGTGTAGCTGAATGTAACTGACCTTTTAATATGTTATAACTGCTTATTATAGTTTAAGGCGTTTGCAACCTAGTTAGTAACCCTTAATAAGCTAATTTAAAACCATTTATAAACGCTTTATAAGGGTGGTCTTATCGTAAGCTGATTTTTCATTGAAAACCATGTAAGAGGAGCAACCGAGTTTCTGGTGAACCTACCAGCGCTCCCCTGCGGCGAGTGTCCGTCGTGGGCGAATCCGAGCTCCTCCAGCACATCTGCGTTTTGTTTCTGCAGCTTACGGAGCGACACCATGAGCCTCTTGATGTCCCCGAGCACTTTGAGCTCGAGCGGAGGGGAGCGCAGGTCATACTCAGTGAGGGTCAGGAGGCTGGTGCCGTCCAGCCGGTGTTTGTTACACAGCAGGTCCACATAGTCGCAGAAGCCTTCCTCTCGCAGCCAGCGGCCCACCTGCTTCACCGTCCAGTATCGGACCCCCTGCTGAGCCATCGCACCGCTCACACACTCACGACACACCACACTCACACTGCACACACAGACACAGGAAAAGGAACAAACACACATTAAGTTTGTCTTATATGAATGTAAATAATTCTGCTCAAAATAATGCAGATCAATATGATCCTTATCAAATCAAGGCTTTTCACACTGCAATTAAACTGAAATATGGTACAAAGACTTACACCATTTCTTCATATCTGCATGATAGATAGATACATAGTCAGAGAGACAGTCAGACAGACAGACAGACAGACAGACAGACAGTTTGCTAGCTGGCTAGATAGGCAGACAGATAGACAGACAGACAGACAGTTTGCTAGCTGGCTAGACAGACAGACAGTTTGCTAGCTGGCTAGACAGACAGACAGACAGACAGACAGAGACAGATAGACAGAGTTTGCTAACTGGCTAGACAGACAGACAGACAGACAGACAGAGACAGTTTGCTAGCTAGTTTGCTAGCTGGCTAGACAGACAGACAGACAGACAGACAGTTTGCTAGCCAGCTAGAAAGACAGACAGACAGACAGTTTGCTAGCTGGCTAGACAGACAGACAGACAGACAGACAGACAGGCAGACAGGCAGACAGACAGACAGACAGACAGACAGACAGACAGACAGAGAGTTTGCTAGCTGGCTAGACAGACAGACAGAGAGTTTGCTAGCTGGCTAGATAGATAGACAGACAGACAGACAGTTTGCTAGCTGGCTAGAAAGACAGAGAGACAGACAGTTTGCTAGCTGGCTAGACAGACAGACAGATAGACAGACAGACAGACAGACAGACAGATAGACAGAGTTTGCTAGCTGGCTAGATAGACAGACAGACAGACAGTTTGCTAGCTGGCTAGACAGACAGACAGCCAGACAGACAGACAGACATAGACAGAGTTTGCTAGCGGCTAGATAGACAGACAGACAGACAGACAGACATTAAGTTTGTCTTATATGAATGTAAATAATTCTGCTCAAAATAATGCAGATCAATATGATCCTTATCAAATCAAGGCTTTTCACACTGCAACTAAACTGAAATATGGTGCAAAGACTTACACCATTTCTTCATATCTGCATGAATTAAAATAAGGAGGAGAATCTATTCCGCTTATAACCCACTACAATAATACTCACATATCACACCTTTTTCTGTAAAATTACTCCAATAATAACAACAACACTGCATGACGGACAGATTCAGTACCGCTGAAATGATCACACAATACTTATCGGATTGGTTCCACATTAACACCCACGGAGTGAAGTCAGCACTAAAACAATCATCTGCAGCTCTGAGTCCATCTCAGCCTCAAAGTCGAGCCTCAACTCGCCGAGCTGGAGGCTGAACATAACGAGCTCAGGGCTCAGTGCAGCGGAGCGATTTTAAAACACCGCTGATGAGCCTCCCCAATGCTGGAAAAGCCTCTGGCACTTAACCAAGTAATTCATTAAGACTTAACCACCAAGAACACTCAGTCTAATGGAGATCAGAGGGTCTGCAGATGGAAAACAGGAGGGGGAGAGAGAGAGAGAGAGAGAGAAAAGAGAAGGGAGACTGGAGGTCTTAGTAATTTATGAAATCTACAACAGTAGAAAACGTAACAATACGATAAGATGTGTTGTTTTTTTTCACCCCTGATAGACAGACAGACAGATAGACTATTAGCTAGCCAGCCAGCCAGGCAGACAGACAGCAAGCTAGCAAGCACACATATAGATACAGACAATTAGACAAGTAGGCACTTTGCTAGCTAGGCAGAAAACGTTAAATAGATCGACAGATAGATAGTTGCTATATATATAGCTGAATCTATCTGTCTGTCTATCTTCCTGTGTGTGTGTGTGTGTGTGTGTATATATATATATACACACACACACACATATATACACACACACATACACACACACACACACACACACACACACACACACACAGGAAGACAGACAGACAGACAGATAGATTCAGCTATATTTATTCGGAACAGAGAAAAAAGACCCAGCAGTTCTACGTTTTAAAAATACTATCAAAAAATGTGATTTTTGTTCAATATTTGGCACTAAATACAGTTAAACAGGACTAATTTTGCTCTCATTATAATGAAACACGCAGTCGGTGTTCTACAAGTACTGACAATATACACGATATGTTCAGAAAAGAATATAGTATCACACTGTGGCGTAATTTATCACGATGATGATATACAGTGTCATATTGCCCAGCCCTGAAACAAACTATAATAGTAATAAACCTACAATGATTTTATTCCATATCTTACAATCTGAACGGCTAAATCCATTAAATAGGTCTAATTATATCCAGGATAGGCTCAGAAAAGCATATCATCATACCGCCCTCCCCTAATAGACAGAACAGACCGACAGACTGACAGATAAGCAGACAGACAGACAGACACTTTTTGAATCCAATGCAGAGTTACAGCACCAAAAGAACAGAACCAATACACAAGACAGGCTCTAACCCGTACAGCGCTGACACGACTGTGACAGGAGACGCACAACACTAAGTTAGAACGCAAGTAAACATTTACACATGATGTAATTTCACCCCAAATAAAACGGCATCCAAACAAAGTGGCCTTTGCTGCAATGTTATCAGTGAATGAGCCCTACTTTACCTTACAAATGAAGCTCCCGGCTGAAACAGTCACGTTCCTGTTGTTTAACTAAACCACAGACAAACAGGCAGGACGGTTGTCACACCAGCAGCACCTCAAACTGCTGACCAAACAGACAGAATAACAGCTACAACACTTTTTACTTCTCTATCCTCTCCAACAAAACCTCTACAGCGCCAAACCGTGAGACTCCAACACAGTAATGACGCTAATACAGTACAGAGCTAACATGAAGATACTCTACAATACTGTATACAATACATTAGAGAGCAATTACAGCACAGCAGAGCTGACATAAAGCTAAGGAAAGCTATTTAATACCACAATTAGATTGTACTGCACTTTAATTCTCTACAATACAGCACAACTCAACACAGCAGAGCCAATATGAAGCTACATAAAGGTGTCTCACGACTTTACACTACACTGGCCTATAACCATCTAATAAACAGCGCAGTATAACACAGTAAAGCTCCATAAAGCTTTTTATACCACCATTACATAATAACCTACAATACAGTGCAACACAGCACAGCTACATAAACATGTCACACTAAAACAATCCAAAAAACACAGTATAGCACAGTAGAACTAACACAAAGCTAAGAAACGCTACAATAAGCATATGTTACACTACATTACACTATACTGGCCTATAGTGACCTATAGAACAGTGCAGTACAGCACAGTAGAGCTAATAAAGCTAATAAACTATCTATAATACAGGGCAGTACAACACAAACTACCTACAGCGCTATGTTACACTACATTACACTATACTGGCCTATAGTGACCTATAGAACTGGACAGTATAGCACAGTGGAACTAACACAAAGCTAAGAAACACTACAATAAGCATGTGTTACACTACATTACACTATACTGGCCTATAGTGACCTATAGAACAGTACAGTACAGCACAGTAGAACTAACACAAAGCTAAGAAACACTACAAAAAGCATACATTACACTATACTGGCCTATAGTGACCTATAGAACAGTACAGTACAGCACAGTAGAACTAACACAAAGCTAAGAAACACTACAATAAGCATATGTTACACTATATTACACTATACTGGCCTACAGTGACCTATAGAACAGTACAGTACAGCACAGTAGAACTAACACAAAGCTAAGAAACACTACAATAAGCATATGTTACACTACATTACACTATACTGGCCTTTAGTGACCTATAGAACAGTGCAGTACAGCACAGTAGAACTAATAAACTATCTATAATACAGTACAGTACAACACAAACTACCTACAGCGCTATGTTACACTACATTACACTATACTGGCCTATAGTGACCTATAGAACAGTGCAGTACAGCACAGTAGAGCTAACAAAGCTACAGTCTACCAGTCTGAGCTCCTCGACAGCAGACAGAGCCTGTGAGTGCTGAGTGAGTAAGGCGTGGCTGGAGTCACTCAGTTGCTCAACTGCTCACCCTTCCCTTCAATTTCAACTGACAGAGTCTCTAACAAACAGCACGGAGATCCCTCACTGAACCGGCTCTCGTATATACACAACACCGCTCCCCTCCCGAACTCCGTTAACACAGAGACAACCACACCGGGACAACACACACACGCACAGGGACAATGGGCCTCATTCAACGAAAGCAGCACAGATTTAACCGCCTTTAATGACATACGAACCACTCCGGCCTCTAATAAGCAGAGTCTGACTCATGGAACTTCACACGATGTGGAAACCAGCACATTCAAACACATCTGTATGTCTGTGTGTGTGTGTGTGTTTACTAGTATATAGTTAGTAATAACATTTTTCAGTTTTTGACGTAATTTGAAAACATCTTTTTTCCTTTACATTGTGTGAATTTTTCAGGACGAATGGACTAAAAGAAACGGCCCAAAATGACTTGGAACGAATTCTGGTTCCATTGACTTACATTAAAAGTAAAGTAGGTTTTTTCCTTTCTCCTGTAAAGTTACCATTTTGGATATATGAGGTTTTCTTTCGACAACAGCGACATACATTTTTGTATATATATATATATATATAGCTCATCTGCTGCTGCACAGTTCACTGGTCGCAGGACGCTGCCCACAGGTTGCTGTTGGCTGGATATTTTTGGTTCCAGCAGCACTGCTGTCTGATCCACTCGCACCAGCGCAACACATATTAACACGCCAACACCACGTCAGTGTTACTGCAGTGCTGAGCGTGACCCACCATCCAAATAATACCTGCTCTGTGGGGGTCCTGGGGGTCCTGACCACTGAAGAACAGGGTAACAAAGCATGCAGAGAAACAGATGGACTACAGTCTGTAACTGTAGAACTACAGAGTGAATCTATGTGGTCAGTGGAGCTGATAAAGCGGACAGTGAGTGCAGAAAGACCTCTCAAAATGCTGCCTGTTACCTATAATGAGTTTGACTGTTTTTCACCATCACTGAGGGCTGTTAGCACCATGAGATCTCAGATATGGCCACAATATGATCTGATTACATTATCACACCGCCGGTAATTATTTTAGTATTTTTTCACTCACAAGTACGTCACATTTCGAGTGTAGGAAAGCTGCAGTAATAACTCTGTAAAAATCAAGTAGACAAGCCGCACAAAAACACCCAAACATTCAACAGCGCAATAATAATAATAGTAATAATAATAATCACATATTATGCAACTGCAGCTATTTGTCTAAATGCGATTATTCTAAGTGGGGAACTCAGGCCAACATTGTTTACTTACTCCTCCAACTTAACCCACATTCCAGCAAAAGTGCTGTTATTTCAACGAAACAATGACCGCAGTATCTTTTACAGAGGGACAAACACAGCAGCTCAAAAACGGACTGAGTAACTTACAGAACCGCAGTGGAACTTCAGTCCGTTCGGTCTATTATCTACTTGATGGAGGCTGGAGCTGCAAACCAACACCGTATGATTTCTGCTAAATAACTTTTAAAAGCATCTGTATATAAAGCAACCTACACACGGTCTTTAGACCACTCTACCAAATTAGCTCAGTCCCACAGTAAACACTATTTTAAAAACAATGAAATATTCAGATCTTGGGTATTTATAAGCATTACGTTCTGATCTATATAAAGCCAAGGCATTAATAGAGACAGTTATAAGCTAAATATATACACAATCATCATTTATAGGGTTCTTTCTACTGGGAGGAGTCTGTCCCAAACCCCAACCCCTAAACGTACACTTGTGAAAATAATATTTAAATGTTTTTTTTTTTTCAGCGCTTTTGAAAATATCTTTTTGGATTTATTTTAAAGTGAATTTGAAAGATTTAGATGTGTCATGAGTTTGAGTCCCAAATCCAACCACTAAGGCCCAGTCCCAGTTCTTATTTTCACCCCTACCCCTTGTTTTCGAGTGTTGCCCCTTGAACTGAGTTACAGGGTAGTGGTTGAAATCTTCCCTCTGAAATGGGACCCTCAAATAAAAAGAGCATCACTTCATTAACAGCTACCAGCGCTGCTCTGTAGGCGACCCTGCCAGTCTGCAGTGACAGCAGAGGAGGGTAAAGTTCAGCTCCTCACTGCTGGGCTTTAGTTACATTTAGGGCATCATATGATCTTCAAAGAGGGGGGCAATTATTTATTATCACCCACCACTGATTCTTCAGTGATATGAAGCTGAAGTCAGATATTCACCAGCTTCTTGTTTTAAGTTTAAACTTGTGAAAATTATGCTTAAAATTTATTGCATTTATTTCAACATTCTTTTTGATTTACTTTCAAGTTGAAAGATTTTGATTTTCAATAAAGAAAATGCCGTCCCAGCGTTTTCATGTCAGTACCAAAACACCGAGTTTTGGTCTGTGGGCGGGGCCCTAATTTAGCCACGCCCCTGCATTTTAGAGCAGGAAGTGAGGCTGCATCCCTGCCCCTCATGGCCACATGGTGAGCAGTTAGATCCCACTGTTTTGAAGTAAAAGTGTCTCAAAGTCTGAAAATTAGTGACATTAAGAATTGTCACTCCTGAAACATATTTTCTGCAATTAAGTACTTTTTTTGTGTTTTATTGAAAAATATGATGATTTTATGTGTGAACAGCTGTTCAAAGCTGTTCTAAAGCTGTTCTGTGAGCTATAATTGTCACTACTGAAACATTTGGTAAAGTTTCAACAAGTTGTGGTTGTTTTGAATTTTTAATCATTAGTTTCAATAAAATAAACATAATTAATCTATAGGGTCACTCAAAGCAACAGGATTTTAGTCTCAAGTCCAAAATCAATTAAAAGTCCCAAATGTGTTTCAGCTCTGACTCTCAACCAGCTCAGCAGACTCCCCCAAATCTGCAGTGCTAAATTACAGCAACTGAGAGAGATCAAAACAATATAGGAGTTAATTTTTTGACTTAGTAACCGAAAACACTTATGATGAATATACTTTTATGGTACAAAAGCATGAAAGTATCAGAGATCAGGGGAAATTTGGAAACATATCTGTCCAGAACTGGCTGGTAACATTGCTATTGGAATACAAGATGACGTCGAAAACCACTGTACTTGAATCAGTTTAGCTGCCTAGAACAGACCTGTGTTACATTTAAGCCCACATTCACTGTTAGAAATAAAGGTTCTGTTCAGGTAGATTTTTTGCTCATCAAGGTACAAACAGTGTAAATGTTCCCTCAAAGCTCCAACAGTGGTTTTAAGGTCTGATTGTGAACCTTAAATCAGTTTCTCCAGGTGAAAAGTTCGTATTTGTACCTTTTCATAACCGAATGTTTTAAACAGAACAGTAAAATAAAAGCCTGGAGACGAGACGGGGTGTGTGGAGTCAGTACAGCTTAGAACATATCATTTCAGTGGATTATGGTTCAGTTATATTCCCTGACTAAAGGTACTGAGATGGACCCTTGAGGGTTCCAACCCAGTGACTGTTTAGTACCTTTATTTCTGAGAGTGTACGCTGTGCCCCGCTCTCTCTATCTGCCAACAAAAAACAAAATTAAACCCAAAAAGGGAATTATTAACTACATTAGTGATTGAAATGGAACCGAGATTACCTTGTTCACTAATAAGAGCATTTTAATTTGCACAGATCCACCAAGATACGACTGGAGAGTAAATGGATGGAGTGTCTACTCACCTCTGCACGCAACACAACCTGCATGTCCAACTGATATGACAGGCCACGTTACTCATAAAGCTCTTCTCTTTCTCTCCCTCTATCTCTCTAGATTTCTCTATCTCTCCCTCCCTCCCTGCCTCCCTCCCTCCCTGGGGCAGGCGAAAGATCTCCGCCACATCATGTTCTGGCCAAAGAGTGCGATCCTGTCCCGCCGGATAAGAATATCGCAGCACTAATCGCTCACACAATCTGCACATTGTGTTCAGTGGAGCAGAGTCCAGCTCTGTTACTGCTGCCCTCAGTGAAACTCATCCTACACGACTCTCACCACCAGATGTGTGTGTGTGTGTGTGTGTGTGTGTGTGGGTGTGTGTGTGTGGGTGTGTGTGTGTGTGTGTGTGTGTGTGTGTGTGGGTGTGTGTGGGTGTGGGTGTTCGCCTTTGGGGGCAACTGAGGGGGTTAAATCAGGACTCATACAACAGTCAGGGCAGATTTGACGGGTCGAGAATAAACCAAAAAGCAAATACTTTGATGATACTATTCATGCGAATAAACCGACTAATAATAACAACATATAATATAAATAATATATAATATAATAAAGTGGCCTGTAAGTGTGAAGAGCTGTAACGATAAAATGATTGGCT